TTAAAATTGGGTGATTGTGTGTGGAAGAGAGAATTTTAGAGAGATGATTTTGGGAGAACTTGGAACTTTTATTGATTTGGAGCTTTTTTAGCTTGTATTACAAATGAGTGAGGAGTGCTCTATTTATAGGTCTCATAGGATCCTTCTAGGCACTCCTACTTCCTTAACCTTCTAGAATATTCTATAGGATTCTAGCTTAGAAATAATCTAGAATTGTTTAGTTACATTAACTACTCTAGATCTTTCTTTACTAAGTCTATCTTATGGGCTAGCTAATTTATTATTTCTCATACAACTACTAGCCCACTATTTACTAAGTTAACTTCTAATAGACCCAATTATTATTATGGGCTAAGCCAAGTTTAATTTCTAACATCCCCTCTTAAACTTGACTTAGCAACACCAAGTAGATTCCACATCTTTGCAAAGACGTCATGCTTGAGCGGCTTTGTGAGAATATCAGCGACTTGATCTTGAGTCTTCACATACTCCACTTGAACTTCCTTCTTCGCAATCTTTCCTCGGATGAAATGATATCGAGTGTTTATGTGCTTGCTTCGATCGTGAAACACAGGATTCTTTGCTAATGCAATAGCTGACTTGTTGTCCACGAATATTGTTGTTGCTTCTTCTTGAGACATGCTGAGAGCTTGCAATATGTAGCGGAGCCAAATTGAATGACACACACTTGATGTTGCTGCAACGTACTTGGCTTCACAAGTGGATAGAGTGACGATCAATTGCTTCTTTGAAACCCATGTGAAAGCGGTGTTTCCCATGTAGAATACGAACCGAGTTGTGCTCTTGCGGTCATCAATATCTCCACCCCAATCACTTGATAGCTTTAGTCCACTTTCAACAGGTGTACTTACAGGGTTAGAGTTCTCCATGTTGAACTTCTTAAGTACTTCCCTTGCGTAGCCTTCTTGGGTGATGAATATATCATCATTCATTTGCTTCACCTCGATGCCAAGATAGTAAATCATAAGTCCAATGTCAGTCATCTCGAACTCCCTTGTCATGACTTGTTTGAACTCATCAAACATCGTCATGTTATTACCTGTAAAGATGAGATCGTCCACGTATATGCACACGAGCAGTATGTCTCCTTGATGATTTTTCTTAACGTATAGAGCATGTTCTTGTCGACATTTCACGAATCCATTAGCTTGGAAGTATTGATCAATTCTACTATTCCAAGCTCTTGGTGCTTGTTTAAGCCCATAAAGAGCCTTTCTTAGCCTCAACACTTTATCTTCTTGCCCTTTGACTTTGTAACCTTCGGGTTGCTCAATGTAGACTTCTTCTTCTAGGAACCAATTTAAGAACGCATACTTCACATCCATTTGATGTATCTTCCACTTGTTGTGAGTCGCGAGTGCAATTATCAATCTTATTGTTTCCAATTTAGCAACATGCGCAAATACTTCTTCATAATTAATGCCATGTCTTTGAGCGTAGCCTTTGGCCACTAGTCTTGCTTTGTACTTCTCCACTTCTCCTTTTGCATTTTCTTGATCTTAAATACTCACTTCACTCCAATTGCTTTATGTTTTGGTGGGAGTGTGGAAAGCTTCCATGTTTTATTCTTCACAATTGACTTGAATGCATCATTCATTGACTTGTGTCTTCTTCAAAACTTAGTGGCTCACAATCACCAAATAGACATAAGAGTGTAAGTTCATCATTTGAGTTCAAGTTTTGTGTTACCTCGTAAAGCTCTTCAATGCTTCTCATGTGTGGTACTTCTCTTTCATCCGAACTTGGTGATGAAGCTTGAGCTTGAGTGGGAGATGGTGGAGGAGTTGTATTTTCATGATTTTCTTCAACATCTTCTTCATATTCCATGGGAGGTAAGAGACTATAATCTTCTTTGTCACCAATGCTCCAATCCCATGAGCCTTCTTCATCAAACTCCACATCACGACTTATTATAAGCTTCTTCAAATCCGGATTGTAGAGTTTGTACCCTTTTGAGTGTTTATCATATCCAATGAATATAAACTTCTCACTCTTGTCGTCAAGTTTTGACCTAGTCTGATCGGGTACATGCGCATATGCAATGCATCCAAATACTCTCAAGTGTGAGACTCCAGGTTTACCTCCATGCCATGCTTCATGTGGAGTTATTCCATCAAGACTCTTCGTGGGGCAGTGATTTTGAAGATAGACAGCACAATCCGCAACTTCAGCCCAAAATTCTTTAGGCATAATCTTTGTTTTTAGCATGCTTCGAGCCATGTTGAGGATCGTTCTATTCTTTCTTTCGGCAACACCATTTTGTTGTGGTGTTCGTGGGATAATCATGGGACGACGGATGCCATTATCTTCACAAAATTGATTAAACTCCTTTGATGTGAACTCTCCACCCTGATCTGATCTCATGGCTTTGATATTGTACCCACTTTCTTTCTCAATAAGAGCCTTAAATTTCTTGAATGCTTCAAAGGCCTCTGATTTTTGTTTAAGGAAATATACCCATGTTTTTCTTGAGTAATCATCGATGAAAGTGAGAAAGTACTTACTTTTACCATGTGAACATGGAGTAATAGGACCACATAAGTTGGTATGGACAACTCCAATGGCTCCTTAGCTCTTGAGGTAACTTCTTTAGGGAATGGTTTCCTTGATTGCTTCCCAAGTAGGCAACCTTCGCATAGCTGATCGGGATGATTGATGAAGGGCAAGCCTTTCACCATGCCTTTGGTCGATAGCATTTTCAAGCCACCAAAATTTAAGTGCGCATATCTTAAGTGCCACATCCATGACTCGTCTTTCAAGCAACTTTTTAAGAATATGCCTTGATCTCTTTGAATGTCAAGCAAGAACATTCGGTTTCTAGTCATCGGCACTTTAGCAACTAGTCTTCCATTATTGTCTCGTAGAGAAAGACTACAATTCCTTAAGTGAATATGATAGTCCTTTTCTAAGAGTTGTCCCATACTTAGAATATTTGTTTTTAAGTTGGGCACATAGTAAACATCAGAAATGAATTGGTGACTTCCATCGTTTAGGCGGATTAGAACGTTACCTTTACCATTCACCACGACTTTAGACTCATCTCCAAAGGTAACGTGAGCTTGAGTTTGTTCCACCTTCACGAACATGCTCTTATCTCCCGTCATGTGATTGCTAGCTCTGGTATCTAACTACCATGTGCTCTTCTTTGTTTGTTCTTCATGATTTGCCATCAACAAGGTAAGTTCTACCTCATTATTCATCTCCATGAGATGGACCTCTTCTTTCACATGATGAGAGCGTTTGCATTCATATGCATAGTGGCCATATTTATTGCAATTATGACACTTTAGTTGAGACTTGTCGTACCTTTGTGGTTTGATTCCTCTCCCACGGCTTCTAGATACTTGCGTATATTGAATTCTTTCTTCATTGTTGAAGTTTGTATAACCACGACCTCGACCACCTCTTCCACGTGCACCACGTCCTCGATCATAACCATGACCTCGTTGGCCTCTTTCTTCACCTCTATTCTCCCCTCTTTCTTTAAAAGAGTGTTTGGAGTAAAGAGGATGCTCCAATGATTCATCAGATTTATTTCTCACAACTCTTTCTTCATGTAATTGTAGTGAGCCCATAATTTGATCAATGGTCATGGACTCTAAATCCTTAGACTCTTCTATGGCCACCACAATATAATCATAGTCTTTGGTGAGAGAGCGAAGAATTTTCTCAATAACCGTTATGTCTTTTAGTTCCTCACCATTCCTCTTCATCTCATTTACAATTCCCAACACTCTAGAGAAATAGTCGGACGTTGATTCCGAATATTTCATTTTAAGTTGTTCAAACTCACCTCTAAGAGTTTGAAGACGAATTCTCTTCATCCTCAAACGAATTCTCTTCATCCTCAAACACACATCAAGAGTTTGAATATCTTAACATAAGCTGATCACTCAGAAATCTAAATTCCTCAAACTGGAATTGCTTCATCCTCTATTGCATACAACTTTGCATAGTTCTTAGTAGTGGTGGGACACAAAAAACTGAAACCGGTAAACCAATCCAATAAACAGTTGTTATTTTCAAACCAGTAAACTGATACTGAAAAAAATCAGTTGATTATATACAGTTGTTATTTTCAAATGTAAGCACCTTGGTGTTTCATGAGTTTCAGATTTTATTTTTCTTCAAATGCAAGGCCGGAGAACCTTCTTTTTTACTTAACTTATATACTTGACTCTCTTATTCCATAAAAATGTACTCTAATTTTTGAATGACTAATTTAGTCCAACCACATATGAGCTAAGACTTGACAAATGCCTTCTTACACTTATCATTTTCATAATTTTTTCATCTTAAAAACACATAATACCTTCCGGGTTCCATATTTTGGACTTGTTTGGTCGCTTACAGTTTCTGATTAAAATAATTTTCATAATTTTTTCATCTTAATTACATATTTATGATTAAAATAAAAATTATTTACAAAAATATGATTAGTGACTAGAGTAGTAATGAAATCATAGTAATTCATATTCAACTTTTAAACTTAAGTTACTATGACACTATATTGTAATAACAACTAGTCATATTTGGGTAAATAAGTTTTATTTTTATAATATTTTTGTAAAAAACTCTTTAATTTAATTAGTTATATCACTTTAAAAATCCCGAGCTTGAGGAATTTAAAAAACTGAGCATTGGAGGTTTTAGAGGGTTGAGTCCTTCCAAGCATCTCTCCCAAATTTTAAACTTGTAAACAAGAAAGGGAGTGTCATAACCATCATAATCCTTCCCTCTGTTCCAGGGGCGGAGCTAGGGGGTGCCCAGAGTAGGTCCTGTTCCACCCCAAATTTAAAAAATGACAATATTTTTAATGTAAAAAATTTTGTGTAATTTTTTTTCAATAATATTCTTTGTACCGGTCCAGTCTGACTCAGTGCCCTGGCTCCGCCTCCGCTTTCCAAGATCTAACTCTCAGACATACCTTTAATTTTCTTATACTCCGTATAATCTTTTCAAATCAAACAAGGAGATAATGAGAACTACTATAAGAGTTGAATGAGATCGACTTCACACATCAGCTAGGTGGCAAATTAAAGGTGTATTAAAAAGTTGTGGCATGGCCTGGCGTGGACTGGATACTACATGTAATAAGCAGGCAGCTTAGGGTAGCTCAAAGCTAAGGGTGGTAAGTTGCTGAATGTTAATGGGGTAAACAGCATCAGTTCCGCCACTGAAAGCCCTGTTGGCGAACAAGATGTTGACTGCTGCGGTGGGGTGAAATGCATCCCAGAACACATACTGATCCCTGTGAGCACACGGCGTCTGGTATGGCAAACATGTGATCTGCCCACTGTTCCTCCCGATCCCGCAGCACCCGCTGTTTACGACGCTGAACCCGTAGCGCTGGTAGTTCCTCAGCAGATCCTGGAACAAGTTTCGAATGTCGATGTAAATGAATCTCGAACCGGGCAGGTTTGTGTTGAGGCCGTTGAGCATTGCCTTCACGTTGGCGATGAAGGGAAGAACGAGCTGGTTCACGGGTTCCGAGCATTGTCCTGTCTCACTCTGGGCAAGGATGCTCGGGATGCATCCCATCACTCCTAGTCCCGCGATCACGAATTTTCGCGCTCCGAGATTGTATAACCTCTGCAATATAATAATAAAATCCACACCGATCATATTTAAATGGGTAAATCACACTAGACCAGATCAGATCATGTATCTGAAGTCCTAAAACGAGACTAAAAAACTTGAGTCCAATTAAAAGCGGTGGTTGAATGTGATGGTCGGGTGAACGAGGAGTGTACCGTGAGCTGCTGGGAGTACTGCTGGGTCAAGAGATCAGCGTATTGTTGGGGGTTGAACTGGTTCTTGGTGGGGTAGTTGGGGAGGAGGTAATTGTTGAGGTAGTCGTTGCTGCCCATTCCGATGAAGAAAATGCATTGGGACAGGGCTTGTGCCATGTCCGCGGCTCCAAGGCTGCCTGTCATTACATCCAGCGTGCTCTCGAAGTTCCGTATTTGCTCGTTGAATGGAATCCGTCCCACCTAACATACATCCAATTTCTTGTTCAATATTCAAATCTAAATCAATAGGTACTGCTGTAAAGCCTGGATCAGGCCTTCATGCAGTCGCGGTCATTGCAACCTTTGTGATGCGTGTTGGGGTCAATGCGATATGAATTAATTTTACTTTGCGATTTTCCGTGAATCAAAAACTCAACGCTGTTGCGGTACAATGCGTTCGTGCGGCAGACCGCAACGGCAATATTCACCAGCAACATGTGTTGTGGTCCGCAATTTAAAATCATCAGATTTTCTATCAAATTTTGTTACTCCCTCCCTCCTATGACAATTTTCTTAAATTATTAGTGACTCTTTGATTTATATCATGTTCCTTATCTATCATTTCAGCTTTTAATTTATTTTAGATGCATACTACATTATCTTACTTTTGCACGTTGAAAAAGTAAAATTGTCACTTTATCCTTTTTTTAACTTGCGCCGGCGGGAAAACGAGAAAAAGTTCATCAAAGTCATCAAAATTTTCTGGCCGGTGTGAGGGCTATGGCAGATATTTGATATAAATGACAATGAGAAAAGAATAGGATTAATTAAATAAAGATGGTCATACTTTTGAAGAAAACGAAAACTATTCACTTTTTATATTTTAAAAGGGCAAGAGGTAATGTTGTGCCTTTTTCGATATCTTTTCTTGATTTTTCTATTTTTTGGAAATGTGACGACACCAAAAACATATTCCTAAAGCACTTGAGAGAAATACTTTAGAAGTTTTACTAACTGTTGCTCCTATTTTAATACTACGTATATCAGTAGTCAAAGTCTCAGAAAGTTTGTGGGAAGACAATCAACGTATAAATTGACTTTTATTATTGACTTTTATTGATCCAGGACAATCAACATTGACCAATTATATTTTTTAATACGAAAATATTTTGTATATGAAAATTATATCAAAATGTTCATTATTCAAAATATTTTCATAAAAGTATAATATTTATAAATTATATACAAATATAATAATTAAAATCATTATCCAAAGTTTTTAATCATTGACCAATAAAAGTTAATATGATGAAGGCACCGAGGTAGTAATAAATATCTTAAAAAACACAGTCTTCCTACAAATAACAAATATATCATGTATGAATTATTTAACCATTTCTTACAAAAAAAAATAAAATTACCAACGACTAGATTGTATCCGCGTACTGGTACTTACAAAATTTCTACCGGTGATGTCAAGTATACCGGCGGCAGCAGAGGCATAATTTACTCCGAAGCGCATCCGATCTCTATTGCCGGAAACTTCCGAGTACGGCGGAATCAATGGCAATCCAAGTAATTGAGCTGGCCGGATATATGCACATATATGTATGTGATTAGTTAACAAAATGTGAATAGTAATCCTTCTCATCTTCACCATTTCAAGGTTTAAATTAAATCAACAAGTGACACGTGCCTCATGGTATGTAATGCGTATATAATTTAAAAACAATTGTATTGTATTAACTTATTCTGCTGATTTATGAAAAATTATACTTCCTCCGTTCCATAAAAGTTGCAACATTGGAATTTCTGCACTATTCACACACCTTACTTTGACTACGATTTTCTAATAATATATATAATAAATATATTATGTATAAAATATTAATAAATTTGTATTAATGTAAATTTCCGATATATTAACTTTTTTTAATGTTTACTAATACGTAAATAAATATAATTACAGTCAAAGTTGTGCATTGGCAAACGTGAAAGTCAAACTGTTGCAACTTTTATGGAACGGAGGATAGTACGTAATATTTATAATACGGGGTATATTTTATTAACAAAGTAAAGAAAAAATTATTCTCAAATGATCCACTAGAGTAACTTCAATCAGAAAAATTACTTCAATATTATTTTTTTATTATTAAAAAATTCAACGCGCGATATTAAAAATGCATATTTGATAAAAAGGCAGCTGAGAAATTAAAACAAGATCAACCAAAGATTTTAAATATGCAAATCCTTCTACGGAGTAGGGGTGGGCTTGGTTGGTTAACCGTGTTTTGGTTAACCAACTTTCCGGTTAACCGAGAAACCTATTACTTCGGTTAACCGAGTATCGGTTAACTAAAGCTTCGGTTAACCGATACTCGGTTAACCAAAACTTCGGTTAACCACAAACCGGTTAACCAAAAACCATCAAAGCATTGATTAAATATATACACACACCATGTTCTTTCTATATTAATTAAGTCAAAACAAGAGAAAAATAAATTTTGAGAGTGGAATACAGGAAAAGATAAAATACACTTAATAAGAATAAACGTGTTCAATTGCTTCAAAAAAAGAATACACATGTTCAAGTCTCACGATTGCAGAATGGGCTAATTAATTATAACTCACAAAAGCTTTGACTAATTATTAATAATATGAAATTAAAAATTCTATAGTGACAAACAGAATTTGGTTTCTTCACATGTTTATTAGAATTGATGTATCTAGATGTGTTGGATACATATTTATCTTTTCAAGTTCTCTGAGAACGTGAAGTTCATGACCATACATGAACATACCGGTTATTGGTTAACCGATAATAACATATTTCTAAAACCGTAACCGTACCGCGAACCGTTTATTCTCACGGTTGGTTAACCGTACCGTGGATTTAAAAAATTGCGGTTCGGTTAACCGGGAAAAACGGAGGTTTTCCGGTTTTTAGGCGCGGTTATACGGTTACGGTTTTTTATGCCCACCCCTACTACGGAGTACTATTTTGAACAATAGATTCATCAAGTTAAGTTTATCTGCATCCTTATTTTCTTTTTTCACCCATCCACGTGAAAATTAGTAAGCTTAATTCTAAACAAAATTGAAATGCTTCTTTTCTCATCCGGAGTATAATGTGAAAAGTTATACCAATTAAAAGGTATATATTCCTAATTAATACAACTATAACTATTTTTTATGATAATAATACGACTATAACTATTTATAAGAACGTCTCATTTATATGATATGGTCCCAAAGAGAATAAAAGTTGCATTTTGCAAATATTCAACTTTCATGAGATTTATAAGAACCTGCTCTTTGGTAACCCTGTTTTTCTGTTTCTAGGGCTTATCATTCAACTTTTTCATCAAACATGTCATTTTTTATTATGCGCGTCGAATTGTAATAATAAGAGAAAGTAAGGTTGGAATTAGTTTTCTGACTATTATGGTTGAAGTTACTATAGAGAACCATTTTAACTATTTCTACATATAAGTTTTTCTTTATTTTATTAATAAAATATATTTTGTATATACTTTTTTCATAAATCAACAAAATCAATCAATTCAGCCACCTCAACAAAAAATTTATAAATTTCAGAAAAATCGGTTGATTTAGTTGATTATGGTATTATCAAAAGGACTCTTATAGACAAAAATATCACTAAAATAATAATAATAATAATAATAATAATAATAATAATAATAATAAATCATTGTAGGACTCTCATGGGGTAGTAACTAATCCCATTCTCAAAATGGGCTACAACTTCACAATGTTGGTCCGGATCCACAAATTTTTTTTATTTGAGTCTACTTTGATAAAATGTTTGAATTTGGTCTGTGTGTTTCGATAGAAGTGTTGGTGTTAGAGATATGAATTTCAATTATCAATATAATATGTTAGTTTGGATCTGATTCTTAAAACCGGTTCTGCTGCTTCAGGGAGCAGAAGCAGAAGTTGGAGTGTTTAGGTGAAAGTGCAGAAGTGATTCTGGTGCTCTAATTTACTCCTAGAATCAGTTTTTTCAGAAGTTGGGGGTGATCAACTTCTGAAAACTGATTCTGATTCTGCTTCTGCTTTAAAAAAGAAGTAGAAGCAGAATCAGTTCCAAACACCCCTAAGAATTATCTTCTCAATTTTACGCTCACCTAGTACTTATAGTGGTATTATAGAGAATTCCCTAGATATGAGTAAAAAAAATTTGAAATTCTAAAATATGACTATCATGTTTTTTATTCACTGAATAGGAGTAAATTTATGCCAAGTTTGGCATTACTAGGCTTTAAACATGGCATTTTTTCAAAGTTGATAGAATTACTCATATTTAGGGAATAAAAACATGAAAGTCCTGTTATGAAATTTCAAAACGTTTTTGCTCCTATTTAGGTAAATTTCTATGGTATTATATTTTCACTGTCCAAGAAAATGAGTCATACTATATATTGATCTTGTTAAAGTGAATGAACGAAAATATATTAAAACCAAAGAATATAGTAGTAACAAATAAGAAATGCAAAGTAATTAGAAATTAATAATAATGTATATAATTCGTACCAGCAATACAATGAAATTATTTTTTAAAAAAACGATACAATAAAATTAAAAAAGATCATATATAAATACAATGAAATGAAAAAAGATCCTAGCTAGAAATTTACAATTATACGGAGTATTCATTCACTCTTAATAAAATCTAAAAAGAAGAATAGTTTTGATTCTTTTATAAGAAATTAATATGTATGTAGTACTACCTTTCACCCGTTTAAAGGTTCTCATTATAAAATGACACAGTTATATAGACAAAATTTCAATAATGTAATTCGGGTATATTTTGAGAAATAGTTTTGATGAGTATATAATATAATGAGGTTATTGATAATAATCGTGATGTTATAGATGCATTATTTTTAACATTTAATGATTAAATTATCATTTAAGAGCTATGTAGAACGGAAATCTCGATAAAGAGTACGTTTCCGTTTCGGAAACTCTCCAAACAAGCATTTTTTGAATAAAAGTTGACGGTTCCCGTATCCCGTTTCCTCAGGATTTTCGCATTTCCGTGCAACATAGTTTAAGAGTGGTTATTAATTTTTAAAATAGAAATGAAAATCTTTATATTACGTATCAAAAATATTGAAAAAGTGAGAACTTAAAATTCTCCTATATGTTTGACTCTTATTATTATGGATATAATAATACTTTAAAAAGCCAAAATGGAGGCAAGTATATATATACCGATCTCATCCACCATGGTAAAACCATTACAGAACCGGCCGGTCGGACCAGCATCAAAATCAATCCCATATGGGAAGTAGTTAGCCTTTGCGAAAGAAGGCAGATTATTGTTGTTGCCATTATCGATCAAAGAGTCGCCAAACACGAACATCGCTGGAACCAAAGCTTTCCTACCATTTCCATCTTCACCCATTACGCCGCCATTGTTAATTACCAAAAACGTCAAAAGAATCCCAGAAATCACCAACCTTAGACCCGCTGCCATTTTCAAGATACTCAACTTTCTTTTATTTATTCTCACTTTTTTTCTAGTCTAGTATGTAATTTTTTCTTGTAGGAATTGAATTCGGGAGGAAGATGGAGAGTAGAGGCCGGATTTAATACATACATAGAGAGAGGTGAAACTAGCTGAGAGGGTAGTTAGAGCGTAGTAAATGGATTCACTTGTAAGCTGCTCTACGAAGTAAATATGCATGCATGTGTATTAATTAATTAATGGAGGAATTCCTCTGCCAGTCTACAAATTACCTCACACATTTCCATGCATGCCAGATTTTGAAGAAAAATAGTGTACATGAGTTGTACATAAAGGGTACACAAGATCATCTTAGTTGCCTCTGTACACATGCAATGCGTTTAAAAAGGAGCAGAATTTGATGTCAAACTTCCCCTAATTGTCTGTATACATAGGCAATGTACACATTTTGTGTACACCAAGAATGGTCAGATTCTTAATTTCCTAAACTCTTATATACTTCGTACTCCTTAATAGGTATGGGAGGACGTAGATGGGGGCATGAGTAAGCTAAGTAACAACGGGACGGAAACGGAAGTAGTCAAGTAGGCACGGGAAACTCAAGTTAAATCATACTAATACTTTAATACTCTGTTACAAATATGTGAAAAGAACATTTATATAAATCAATAAAAGCAGTTATGATGAAAATCACAACTCCATCCGTTTAGATCAACAATGACCCACGGTGATCGGTCATGTGAAGGTCACAGCTCATGTATGCTGGGATGGACCTTTGGTGCACACAACTATCTACCAGACTACTATCATTAAGTCATCGTGATTTATAATCTCACATATGTTTTGTCGAGTCGGGCTTGAATGGCGTTGTATTTAGGGATTAACAATTTTTGACAATAAATTAGTTTAAGAGGCCGTTTGGCAACACTGGTTTTCGGCTTATCAGGCTTATCAGACAACTTTTTCATCAAACACGTAATTTTTGTTCTCGCGCGCTGAATTTTGTTATAAGCAGAAAAAGTAAGGTTGAAGTTACTTTTCTGACTGTATTGGCTGAAGTTATTGTAGATGGCCATTTTAGCTATTTTTACATATATTTTTTTCTTTATTTTATTAATAAAATATATTTTAAAATATTTTTTCCTTAAATCACCAAAATCAGCCAATACAGCTACTTCACCCAGAACTTCATAAATTTCAGTCACTTCAGCCAAATCAGCTGATTTTCGTGTTACCAAACGAGCTCTAAGCCTTCAACTAACTCTTTAAAAGCACAAGACGCGTGAGAGTATCCCAAATTCGTACACTTCATACCTATTTTCCCCAGCCTTGTATATCATGATTTGCGATTTTGATAGGAAAATAAATGTACTCTTGTTTTCCAAACTCTGTTTTGCCTGCAAATCGAGGTAGGTAGGTAAGAAGATGGCAATCATTTAGCGTACTTACTCTTTGACCTATACGGCTGCTCTGCCACTCAAATTTTCGCTAGTTCTTTACTTTTTTACTCCTTGGGATCTTTTTAAACTTCAACTTCACGTTGATTAAAAAAATAAATTTGATTTTACCGTAGAGTACATTGTTAAGACACTATTTGGCATTGTTGAGACACTATTTGGCACTGTTTGGCACTGTTAAGACACTGTTTCGCACTGTTGAGACATTGTTTGACACTGTTTAGCACTGTTTAACACTGTTTTGATTTAGATTTCATTGCCAAATAAGGAAATAAGGAAGTGTGAAGTTTATTCTAGACCGTCCCAAAAAGGAAAGTGTGGAGTTTAAAAAGATCCGGAGGGAGTATGATTTTTTACAAAGTTTCTGCATCTTCATATAAGATGCAGTGGGTTTCTTTTTTAATTGTGATATCTAATGGAGTTGTTTTGAAATGAAGGGTTAAGAAAAAGAAAAAAATCCACTTTTGGTTCCATGAGTATTACTCCGTATACTAGTTTCACATTTAGTCTCTTACTTTCAGATTGTCCACATTTAGTCCGTGACCATTATCCCCTCATCACCCCTCGTCCTTCCGGCTAAAATTCCGGTAAATTTAATGCAGATTTTAGGTATGAAAAAGCAAATTTAATGCAAAGACTGATATGAAAAACTCAACCTTATATAAAATTTAATGCAAAGACTGATTCTGAGGCTGATAAGTGGACTAAATTTGCCGAAATTTTGGCCGGAAGGACGAGGGGTTGTGAGGGATAATAGTCACGGACTAAATGTGGACAATGTGAAAGTAAAGGACTAAAGGTGAAAGTGTTATAATAGTCATAGGACCAAAAGTGGAATTTTATTCCGCATATTAGAATTTCATAATATTGTGTTTTAGATTTTGCAACTTTATAGAACTTTCATTTGGTTTCCAAGTATGTAAACTTTAACTATTAAGAGTCGTAAATTGCATTTTAATTTGTGACAGGGGAAATATATTTATTTATTTATTTATAATAAGTATATTTTTACTTGGATTATTTTCAGTCCCAGATCAGACCAGTCTAGATCGGACTTAAACAGATCAGATCAGACTTAAACAAACTAGACTTCCTTAGTTATAAAATACGTAATACAAAAAAAACATTTATCAGACTAGACCAGTTCAAACCTGACCAGACTTGAACAGACCAGACCAGACCAGCAAACTTCAGTCCAAGTAAAAACATCTTAAAAGAAAGAGTACACATGTTAATGAAGAAAAACGCCCCTACTGAAAGGAAGAAATGCTAGAGAAATACAAAACCAAACTATTGAACCGTAAATCCATAACTATTGTGATTTTTATTCGAGTGAATTCCCCAAATAGAAGTAATAAAACATAGGCAAAATGCAAAAATGAGAGTAACATGTTTTGAATAGAAGTAACTTTAGTGTTTGGACAAATATACCCCTACCCAAGTCCCAACAACTTTCATTAATAATTAAAACATAAAAGAAATAACATTAATTAATTTATAATAAAATTGTAAAAAAAAAACACAAAAATATATATCAAATAAAATATACTTGTATTAAATAAAATTAATAAAAAACAAAAAAAAATGTTAAAATAAATAAAATATTAAATAAAAAACTAAATAAATAAAATTGGAAATTAAAAATGAAAAAAATATAAACAAATATGCAGGCGTCTACCGCCGCATCAACAACCTCCCAACACCACCAGCTTCGACCACCGAAAAAATGCCAACATTTGTCCGAAATGCCATCATGATGACAATTTTCGAGAAAATTTGGTATTTTAAAAGAGGAAAATTGTCATATTTATGACATTTTTAAAGAAAAATGACAGTTTTTACATAAAATGGCATTTTTCCCCGATTGGGGATGGCATTGTTGGGTGATGACCGAGTCTGCGAGAAAGGACTGCATAACTTTTTTATACATTTTAATGTGTTTTTATCTATTTTTATTTATTTTTAAAGTTTTTTATTTTTTAAAAATAAGAATTTTTTAAATTTTATTATTTTATTATTTTTTAAAAAATATTTTTTAATTTTTTATATTTTAATAGGATCAAATAAGTCATTTTAGAATTAATTAGGTTAGGGGTATTAAGGGTAGGAAATTAATGTTTACTCTTATTGAAGAAAGTTTTAAATTTTACTCCTATTTGTACAATTATGTTTACTCCTATATTGGGCAATTTCTATTTTTATTTTGATTGTCGCACACTACCACTGCAATCATTTTCCACATTTAATACAAAATTCGTAGAAAAAAAAACAGTGCATACACAATAATTAAATTTTAGGTTTGATTAAATTTAGGTGATAAAAAATTTAGGTTTGATCCTGCAACTGCAAGCCACAGCAAGTACACGGAATTTGAATAGTAACACAATATAAATCGAACAAATTTACAGATGTCATATCCAATACCCATTACATTGATTTGACTAGAGTTCTGGTTGCATATACTCGGAGTCTCGAACAAGTACATTTGATAGTACAAAAATTAAATATGGGTTGTTGAGAAGAAAAATGGTGGAACTATCATAAATCTATTCCAGAATCTTCAAGGCAACGAACAGGTAAGGGCCTATGGCTTCCATAATTTCATTGTGCAGTCTTCACCATATGTGGCAACAAGATTTATATGAGGATGGTGAGTAATACCGATCACATCTTTCTCATGCACCTGCCACCCAAGTAATGAAATATTTGAAACATTGGTGAACAAATTGTCAATGACGTGGCCTTTTTGGTGGACCATAGATGCATTGAGAAATGCTTTCTTTCAATCCATCATCCCATTATCATCAGAATTAATGCAACTAAAAAATATGGGGCCATAAAAGTTCCACAATTTAATCAATTTTACGTTTTCTAAATACTACTCCCTCCGTTCCTAAATAAACTTCCAACTTTCCTTTTTCGTCCGTTCCAATTAAAACTTCCACTTTCCCTTTTTGATAAAGAATTTGTGGTTCACAACATTTCTTAAACATCTCTCTCCTCTGCACAACTCTCCACCATACAATATCAACTATCTTAAACTTTGTGTCAAACCCATTTGAAAGTTAAAATGGGAACGGAGGTAGTACTTCCTTACCTTCATCAAATGTTCCAGCTTCCCAGATTGATAGCTAAAGCAGTACAGATTTCTGTCATAATGAAGTGAACAATGTCACACACTCACACAGATGATATTTGAGAAAAGGAACTCGATACATTTATAGAAACATAACATGATAGAAAAGGGAAGGAGTGTACGAATATTATGCCATGCTTAAAGTGAACAGAATATTATTTATACCTGTCTTCACCAACACAGTATATCCATTCTCCTTTAGTTGATACACAGGCTGCCACAAAATCACCACCTTCTCTCTTACCAGAGGAAAAACTTCTGACAACCTGTATTCCAGTGCAATTATCAGAACTAACACAAATTTTTTTGTTCATGCTATTTGAAATAATTGCATCACTGGTTCAGTTGAAGATGTTTCTGAACACTGATATGGTCGTAACAGATATTGAGTGCAACTCTATCAATCGGGGCTAGTTTCCATTGAAGGTGCTGGAGGGATTGGTGATCTTGTTATAAATTTGAGATTGTTATAGAAAATTAAACGGTAAAAAAGAATATAAGATAAGATCATATAGCATATCAAATGATGGAATTAGGACGTGTTAAACATGGAAGTTGAGTTAAACTGTGTTGAGGCAATTAACTGCAAAAAGGCCTTGTAAAAACAACTGAACATTTATCTTAAACAAGTACCAGTTTAGAATATTCAAGAACTTAGGAGATATCTATGACACGCTCAATATAGAATTTACAGGAAATGGGTCAAATATTTGAAGAAAAATAACAAATTACCTGCCCTTGAAGTGTCATCAAGTATATGGATGAGGTTTTGTTACACACAAATATATGATCTGTATTCTTGGGACAAAGATGAACAGAATTTACAGATGCATCGCCTCCCTGTAAGAAACAAAATATGGAAATTATGCAGGGTAAAGGGAAATTATCTACATAATGTGATGAAGGAAAGCCCTAAAACTTTGAAGATGATTGAAAAGCAAACTGACATGGACTACAACTATAGATCTGGAAATCAAGAAAGAGAAATACCCTCAAAGGAGGTGGTGGTTTAAACGTCTGTAGACAGTCAGTTGTCTTCAAATCCCAAACCTGTTTTATGCATCTGAAATGAGTCTTTCATAGATTATGAACAAATCTAGCATTCATAGGACATAATTGACAAGTAAGCTTACCTTCACTGTGCAATCACTAGATGCTGTGATGACTCGAGATCCATCATGAGTAAAAATAGCATCATTTACATAAGACGTATGGCCACGAAATTCTTTTAGTAATTTCCCAGACTTCAGGCCATGGACTCTACAAAAATTTCAAGAAAACTTAAAGCGAAGACAACTTATGTTTTACAAATGCCCATTGATCTACCAGGATTAACAAGCCAATTTGCTCTTAACTGTGATTTCACATTGCCCCCCTTTTGCTTAGATAAATAAAGGTACCTTCCCACACCCACCCCACACAAAAATATGCATATAAATAATTTTCTAATATGTGTCCTGTGTCTATATCAACCCAAGTCTGGATCATGAATGCATGGAAAATGATGCCATGAATGTGCAAGTGCAGGTGCAATAATGTTACAAGAAACCTGGCAGTACTGTCAAATGACGTGCTCAAAATCTGACTTCCATCTCTAGAGAAGACAAGACTAGTAACGCCCTGAGAATGTGCTCGTTCAAGACGACGCAAGCACTGACCAGTCCTTATTCGCCATACCTAAAATCAGAATAGCAAACTTGAGTAGATTATTATGGCAAAGTTCAGCAATTATGCTTTGAATTCTCTTCCCCTCCCCTCCCCCCCCCCCCCCCTATTTTCTAAAAGTTTGTTTGGATAGCGCCGAATGGAGTGGTACCAAGGGACACACTGATCTGTTCCTTGTTTGGCTAGGGAGTAGAGAGTAAATGAATAGGAATCTACGGATGAATGCTTTCAACCTCTCATTCCCCTCGAGTATCGTGACTATCGTCCCTCCAAATTGGGGCAAATAGGATGAGATGGAAAGGTGGGGTGGGGAATTAATCAATTTAGACATAAAATATTGTACTTCATTCATGTTTCCTTTGTAATCAAACAAGAAAAAGTCATATTTCTTTATAAACTTATCCAATCCCAGCATGGTTTGATCCCTTCCCCTCTTCTCCTTTAGTCCCCTCGTCCCCCAAATCCAATCAAGGTATAGATTCTCCCTAAGAAAGACGAAAGATTGCTATTGCTTTGCAGACTATTAACATTTGAAGAATAGATGAAAAACAATTGTATGAAAGAAAATGGGAGTCCTTTGTCAAGTTTTCCTTAAAACAATTTTGCAATAAGAACAATGAAGATATATGCAGGGAACAGAAGATAATGTTAGTTATGTAAACTTGAAAATAAGTATAACATTACCTTTATTTTTCCATCTTGAGATCCAGATGCAAGCATCTCGGAATCTCTGCTAAAATCAACACAAAGAACAGCATCATCATGCATCATAAATGTTTCCTACAAAGTTCAAAGTAAGTCAGCTAAGCAATAAGTATAACAGGCACATAAATGGAGACCATTGTTATGTGCTGAACATGTTACCGGCTTAATTGGGGAAAGAATAAACAGACATGTATCAAATTGTCGTTGGGTTGGGACTTGGGATCTTGTTGAGATTTCGAATTCCTTAGGGCATAGGTTTGGTTTTTTATTGAGATCTAAAACAACCTTAGCCTTTAAGCTAAAATTTGTGCTTGTTTATTGGTGCCATGAATTCTACCTTTTCATAATAACAGGGTACAAAGTCTCCTGATGCAAACTCAATAGTCCATACTAAAAGGCCAAGTATATAAGTGTATAACTATGGAGGGTGATGAAGTGTATCACATGTGGGGCAATGACTTTCACCAGGAAATGTTTGGTATAATGCCTTGATAATGGAAACCGTTTCCTGCTAATGGTGGCCAGATTCAGCTTCATGTAAAAGTTACACTTTAATGCTAATTATCTTGTTAGGGATTTAATCGAAATGAAAGCAGCAAACATCCTCTGGATGCTAAAGGCTAGTAAACTACGTAAAGGGATAAGGTAATGATAAATGCACTGCCATTAATTATGCTTGTGTTGCTGGTAGACCTGTTGACGTATCAAACACTTTCCAAAATAATATATTAAAGGACAATTAGATGAACTAAAACATTACCTATATCAGTAATTAATTGGTCAATCGTACTATAAAACTATAAATGACTACAAAAAACATTACAGTTTCTTCTTGAAACTTTGAAAGTGGCCATTATTTTAATTTAATTCTGAAAGCACAAGAGTAAATGGTTCAATAAACATTCTCATACACAACATTAATATACAGCTGCATTCACCAACACTTTCTAGTTTCAGAAGAAAATTTTAAAAATTAGAGTAGACAACAAAGTAGTGGAACAAACCTCTAATAAGGCAATGGAATTAAAGCAGTTAACTAGAAAAGAAAAATATCAAACTACAGTATCATGATAGCAATGATAGCAGCAGTTAAAAACTACTTGACTTATCAACCAAAAAATACACAAAAGTTTATACTTACATCAGCCTGATACTGAAGATCCTTCTTTAATTTTCCACTTATGTGGTCCCATACCTGGAATTCGAATAGAGAAAGGGGAGAATGAAGAAAAATCATTTAGAAACTCAAGAAATCCTGACCTGTTAGAGAATCAGATTATACCTCGATAAATCCATCAACAGAGCAGGAGACAAGGAATTGCCCATCTGGGGAGAACCTAGCACATTCCGGGTGGCTTTTCTTTCCAAACTGCAGACATAAACCGCTATGAAAATGAAAGAGGAAACATATAATTTATTGATTTGTGTGAATGATGAAATGGTAATCATTACTCATTTTAAATTCTTAAAATCATTATCTCAGATTTAGATATCTTTATTCAATAGAAATGTTTCCAACAAATAATCAAGTAATCAACAAGAAAAGTTTTTATATTCCAACTACAAGAAAACAAGTCATAATGAAGATTGTTTTATTTACCTTAATAGTGTGTCCAAGAGTTGTGGGATACATATCCTCTTCATCTTGTTTCATAGCAGCTGTACCCCGGAACAGATCAAATTGTGTTCCAGGTGGGAGTAATCCTGAGAAACAAACAAAGAGTATATTAGTTGGAAGAATAAAAACAAAAACAAAGCAAAGAGAAGCAACAGGAATTATCATTTAATCTGACGGCATTATAATGTAAAAGAACTTGTGTATATTCATGCAATGAAGATCCAATAGCAACTTCATTATACAATAATCATGGTAGTCATATCAAGACCAAAGCCAATTGGTGAAAAGCACTGCTACAACTTCAACATTGTACAATACAGTTCCATTCATTAGAGTATCAAGGTAACCTGAAAACTCTGTTAAAATTGTTCGCCTTGTCCATTTCTAAACCTTTTACCAGCCCTTTGCCTCAAATACCAAATTCTTAACACATCGCAGGGAACAATGATTCTGTTATAAGAAAATTAACATATCCATAGTTGTGCATAGCATTTTCATATCGAAAAACAGCAAGCGTTACTCACAAACACTAGGTCAGCTACATTAATTTATAGATAAATTCCATAAGTCATCCAATAATATATTCTTTTTCCAGTTTCCACTATTTTCTGTCATGCACCATGTGCCACTGATGCCCAACCCCCAAAATGTCGTTTTTGAACACTCAATCCATGTCATTTTTGGTTTATCAATGCTTGTATTTAAGCCACTACCATTCTAATTTCCATGACTCCACTCTGTGCTGAGACACATCTCGAAAGTAAATCTGCTTGAGCCAACATATTTGGTTCTCCCTTACCTTATCTTGGGTAGTATGTCAGACCCGCTTTCATGTGAATCTACTTACTGTGATCTATAGTCTATAGTCTTGTCACACTTGCATATTACCATACGCATAGCATTTTTACAAAACATAAAAAAAGAAAGTTAGGTTTAGGTAATATATGCATGTGCAAGATTTTCTTTGTCACCTTGATGCTGCTGCCACTTCAAAGCCTGACCAATCAAAGCCATCAATCGTGATGGAGGGACCACTGATACCTCTGTGGCAAGAGCTGAATGCAGCAAAAGAAGATATATAGACAAATGAGATGGAAAATAACCAAATGCACAAATGTTTTGTGGCATCTATACTCTGAGTGACTGATTAAACATCTTATAGAAATTGTATAGATCCTTGATTAGAAACACATATAGCAACACTCTGTTCCACTCATTGCTCTCCTGCATACTTAGCAATTAATATATCATAGCTTCCATCATATGTATTTTATTTTTCAAATACAAGATAACAGGATCTAAATCAGCCGCCAGTGTAACTAATATTATTGAGCAACACTATCAATTCCTTCTGAGTAACTCAATAACTGCTGATACAAGATTTCCCTTTTAAATTAATATGTTCAAACAACAATGATATATTATGCAAAGACTGCAGGAATGTTGAAACCTTGGGCTATTTGTGCACGCCTTTTTTCTTTTGTTGAATCTTGATAAGCCTGCACATAGCGTGTGGAAGATATTTAGTACAAATAGCACGCTAATAGTAGAATACATAGTATACATAACAACATAAGAAATATGCTAACCTCATGTGGATCAAAGTAAGTTCGAACTAGTAGATGCTCAAGTCGTAGGTATCTTTCTGGTTGCTCCTGCTTCATGACACCCATCACCTGAGTCTGCCTCAAAATAGAGCGGGCAGTATCTACTTCCCTGAGTTCTATCATTTCTAAAACAATCTAATGCACATGGGAAATTGCATTAGTATAAACATCATTCATTCATTCCTAAGCGCATAAGTACTGTGAAAGGCTGAAAGTAACTGAACATGTTATCTAATTAACAGAAAGAAACATTCACATGATACTGCATCGTTGTGTAATGTGTGTTAGTTCATTATATGCCATAATAACATGAAATAAAAGCTAAAGTAAACAATGTTAATGAAACCCATATATTATCAAAGGACATGTATTAGAAGGCGATACATGTGAACACGCTACACAGGCCCAAAAAAATACTAGAAGTTCTCAATTGGCGGGACATCCAATCACGTATCACTTAAGATCCCAATCTTAGGTTGTACTCTCATGCCTTGAATGAGATGCAGCAGAGCTGAAACTAATGACTTTAAGTCATTCACAAGAGCTTGCAGCAAACATATGAATGGCTATACTCTTCTTACTAATTGTGCTTGATACTTTAGTTGGCTTGAAGATTACAAAGTTAAAAAAATATGAATTTTTAATCTCATCAAAAATGCATTGCTTAGAGCGCATGTGCTAGCAGCCTAGAACGTGACCAAGGTCTTCGAGAAGATGTGAAAGACATGCACGAGAGCTTGAAGAATGAAAAGTTGTGGTCAAGGAGAAATGACGCTCGTCTTTCCCTGGGCAGAGAAGATCCATACTTTTCGGCTTGCCGAAGAGATGAGGAGGTAATGCTCCAAAGCGTAGGATAATACAAGGAGTTATTCCAAATAGGATTGCAACGTGGCCCACCTTCACGAATAGGACATTAGGACTAGTTATGTTTTTTTCTTAAATAGATGAAGTCTTATTGAAAGATGAACCCAAATTATTTTCCATCTATGCCCCAAAAGTTTTTTAATAAATCAATCTTGATTTTAATAATCCTAAAGCAAACCACAGCACTCCAATTTCATTTCTCTCACCCCTCTCTTGCACCAAATCCTTTTGATATACAATCTGCAACTATGTTGCAAGGAAATGCGAAAATCATGAGGAAACGGGAAACGTCAACTTTTTCTCAAAACAGGCTTGTTTGGAAGAGGGTATAACATCAACCGATAAAACGGAAACGTACTCTTTCCCGAGAGTTTCCGTGCTACATAGATCTGCAATCCTCCAACGCCTTTCCTCAAGAGAAAAGGCTCCGGGGCCAGGAGTTTTTGCTGGAGATGAAGATAGTGGCAAGCCTCTAGATGAGGGAGAAAGCAATGACTTCATGGCAGAGGAGGAGGGTATAACATCAACCGATAAAACGTCAGATGGTGTAGGAAAGAGTATGCAGGGGCTGTTTACTTTCGACTTAATTGACTAAATGGAAATTGTGACTTAATTGTTCAGCTATATACTCTTGTTTACTTAGGACTTATTTGCTCAGACCATTTTTGACTTATTAGTTCAGACCACTTTTAATACTCCATACCGTTTAGATATACATATTTATGCGCAGTCTCCCTTTTAACCCTCCCTTCATCGCTAACCTCCAACCTGAGCACCGTGCGGCTGTCAACTTCTTTCATGCTACGTATTTCTCCCTTCTCCATCGCTTCTTCCTGGATGATGTTTGCTGCTGAGTTTTCGATCAAATGAATGGAGGGACAAAAGAGTCACATACAATTTTGCAGAAGAAGATAAATCTTTCCGTTTTCTTACATCTTCCAAATCAAACCAAAAGCTATTATTTTTAAGAAAAAATCTAAACTTGAAATAGAAGATATAAATCTAAATGGGATAGTAGCCACCCAAAGCAGGTTACGTAACTAGAAGAAGCCTTCATTTTCCCCTGTTTCTCTTGTTACCCTCATCCTCACTTGTCTTTTTCCTTCTCCTTTGGCAAATGGCAATGTAGATAGGTTTGATTTTCTTCCGAAATGACACCAGAAACCGTGTGAAGTTGATGGCTCCAGATTAATGGAGAAGAGCTTTGACCTTTTTCAATTGATAAATTGGTTCCATTGATTAATGAAGAAGAGGTTTCAAACACAAGGGTATATTGGTTATTTAAAATAATTCAGCCTTCTCATTCAGAACACAAAGTAAACGGTTTGTTATTCGAGTATCATTTAATCCAGACAACATCTTAATACAGACAGATCATCTTAATCCATACAGGACTTCATGGAAAAAAAGTAAACAGCCCCGTAGACAATGATGGTGGACTATGTAGGACTGAGAAGATGAGAATGAATGCTTCTCTTCTCCAAATCTGGTACATGGCACTATGGCAGCCCATCGGTGTTCCTCTAGTATATACGCTCTTATTTCTCCAAATCAAGATATCGCATCTTCCATTTGCAAATTCATATGGCTGTATCGTCCTCGGTTTTACATATTTGCTGCAAAGAAAGGTATTTATTTGAATTTGAAGACGCAGCTGGCATAGGACCACAGAACTCTGAAGACGAGGCTGACGTGGTGTATATGGTTGTCCGAGGTCATGGTCTAAATCATCTAAATCATAATGCCATCAAAGAAGATTAACACAACTTCCATAGATACGCCCATTATATGAGTTCCATAAACAACCGTAGTCTCTGATTTCACACTTCTCTCTTCATAAAGATTTGAAAGGTTGGCATGGCATTTAAAAGGCCAAATAGCATAACAATAAACTCAAACTGTAATTTATTTGTACGAAAAGATGGTGTCCAATTCAGTGAAGGTTTAAACTCAAACACCATGTGAACGTTCCACATGAAGCATGTGAACGTTCCACATGAAGATGGTGTCCAAAGAGAGGGTCAAGCTTCATACAGAATGTGGCCCCATGAAGATCATCTACAAATTCAGTGATTACCGAGATCATTTATTTATATTTCACTGTCTAGGTGTTTGAGCATATAATCGTTACAAAAGTGCCATGTTTCATCGGTTTTCTTAGCCAAGAGGACAAGGGAGGAAAACATGAAATGGCTCAGCTGAATGATCTGTGGATTAACATTGACACTACAGCTCAACTACATCTTTGAGTATAATGGATAGCGATATGGGTGTGCGGTGTGCCACAACAGGACCTCGGTTGGGTAGCAGGATGATGTAATGATCACACTAGCTACATGTGGGAGTGATGATGGTTTGCTTGATACATCACTGAAGTGTGCAAGGACACCTTCAACAGTGTGTCCATGTCGAGATTAGTTTTTCCCAGACTTGTCTATATTATGGAACTTAATTGGTTTCTGTATTACCTAATCCTCTTCTTATATATAGCTTATATAATTTTTAGTATTTCTGGTTTATCCAAACAATAAATGAATCCAAAATGAAACGAAACTAGTACAAAAAAAGTTGACAAATTTTAGAAAAAAAGTATAATAACTATCTATGTGATGACCAGCTAAAATAACCAGCAAACTCCACACCATTATTATCACATCAATACTATTGAATAATTAAATAAAATAGACAGGGGCTGTAGGAAAAGAAATTAAAAACACGGTGATATGAATTTACAGTTTTTTTCACGCCCAGAGATTGCATACCAGTTCATACAAATCTTCCAGTATCTTTCTGGGAAGCTTCAGCTGTGAGACTTGAGGCAATACTGCATCCCATCTCCCACCATTAATATCAGCAATAAAAGTTTCTAGACTATCCACTGTGTTGAGAGAAACTTGGCACTCATTTTGTAAAGTTTGGAAAGTTTGATGTAAAGAGTTTTCTTTGCAGAACTGAAGAACGATCTTAATAACACTGCACAAAAAATTACATACATGAATGTATATCTTTAATCTTCATAACAGACTATAATAGCATAATCTTATACACTTATTGCAGAAGGATTGCAGAAGGATTCTAAAGGGTGGAAGGACCATAAATCTTCGTTAAAAGAGTCCAATGAGAAATCAGTTGTACATGGATTCTGAAGAATGATCAACAGAAACGGGTTTTTCCGATATAGTAAGTTCTTTTTTTTATTCATTCACTTTGCACTTCTGCATCTTTATTAATCGTTTGTATGAGCTTCTAAAAACTCCCTCGTTCTCTTCCCCTCTAACAAAATTTACAGATGAACTAGGAAACGTATGAAAATGGGTGGATGCTTTTATCAGAACAGATTGGCAAGACCTCCTAGTCAAATACGGAGTATCACATTCTGCTTATTTGAACTTCTATGCCTTTGACAAACAGTAGTCATGTAAAAATTTCATATTCAAAAATATTATTGGCTTAATTTACTCACAAAAGAATCAAAAAATAGAGAAAGATTTCATGTATGACTCCTTTCAAATCCAAAATTTCAGAAGAAGTTTCAAAATGCTTTCAAAGTTCAAACAAAACCCAGTAGTTTGGTACAAAAAATGCATTTGGCTTTTTATGGTTCTTGAGAGTTAAGAAAAGCTAAATTTTTCGGAAAGGAAAAGAATGTAGCTTTGGTGCATCGTTCTAAAGCGTAAGCTCGACCATGATGCATATACATTTACATTTAGACACAATTATTAAAACATAAACAACGATGAGTAAGAGAAAAGTACTCTCGAGCTTCTATTTCAAGGGCGGAAGACATCGTTGGGGGTGGATAACGTCTGAAACCTAACCCTAATTCAGCTTGTCTTCTCCAGTCTTCACTCAGGAACTAACGGTGTCTGAGTCATGTCTCAACTCCAGGCCACACAGACGGTGTCACTTAATACAGATTATTTTTTTTTATCGTACTTAATACAGATTTTTAAACAATAATTTTAATATGATTATTTTAATAGATGAAATCTGAAACAATTATTACTTTCATCCTTTTCAAAAGTTCTCATTACTAAATAACAGGATTATTTAGACAAAAATTAAATATGGTAATTTGAGTACATTTTGAGAATACTTTTAATAATTATAATATAATGTGATTATTGGTGTTAACTGTGATTTTATAGATGTGTTATTTTTAATAATTGATAATTAAATACGGTTTACGACGTTTGACCGACGATAAAGCAAATTGATCCCTGTTAACACTCAAAATAGTTTTAGAAAATAAAATTTACATATTCAGAAACTATATTAAAACCGCTACAAAACCTGCAAAAAATTATTCAAATTTCATAAACTTTTGATATATAAAGTAAAAGATTAAGAATGATTTATGTTGACCAAGTGAATATTAAATGTATCTTAGAATTTGGGACTGAGGGAGTATCATCTAAAAGTACTAATTGTTTCCTAAAATAACAATGAAAACTTTTAAATGAGACGCCCAAAATAGGAAAGTGAACCTCATTTGTTTAAATAGATAATAGCCCATTTTAAAGAGAAAAAAGCATCATTTTAATCGTAGCCCATGAGATAGAAAGTGAACCCTGTTTGTTTGAAGTTATCATTCTTAGTTCATTTTAAAGGGCATCCTGTGCACATTGACGTCCTCACAAAGGGGGTATGGGAAAGAGTCTCACCACAGGGGTTCGGGAAGAGTCTCACCACAAGAGATCGCTTCCAAAACTTGAACATGCGACCTCTCAGTCACTGAACAACACAGTAACGGGTGCGCTAAAACTCCTCTTTTTCAGTACTTCTTTATTTAACAAAAAATTATGGGGTCATATAGACTTAGAGACTTCATGATGGACACTCATTTTCTTAATGAATTAATAATTGGTTACCCCACTATAAAATAAATGGAGATGATAAATCCATCTCATCCATATGAGTTGTATTTGGCTCCATACAATTAATCCTTTTATTCAAAGATGAAGAGTGTATTCCATCATTTGCAATGGAGTCAAAGACTCACTATTTTTTGGCCCGAGAATATGATGGAATAAAACAAATGGGCTCACTAAACTGTCCGCGCTTCTTTGTTATCAAGCAACAGTCAGTTCGTGCAATTTTTGACGCGATATTCACTATGGGTCATCCGGAAACCGTCTCTCTGTGTTTTAGTACAGGGGCAAGATTGCGTACATCCGACCCCCCCTTACCCTACTGTAGATGGGAGCCTTTACGGTACTGGGGTAATGATGATGATGATTTAAAGATGAGGAGTATATAAACAATTTCAAGAGGCACTAATAATTTTTTAGATGAAGCATATTTTATTAATGAAAATACATGTAGGAAATTGTTAGGTCCCTCTAAGTTTTGATGATGCACTTGTATTGGACTAGTCAAAACTGGTTTGATCTATTTTGTGATTTTTGTTGCTTCCAAACATTCAAAATGTAAAAAAGTACTCAAACAAAAAGAAAACAAAAGAAGAATAGTACTAAAAAGTGAAAACGTACCAAAAGAAAGGGAAGGTACGAAAAAGATTTAGTTGAACTTTTTGTTCACTAGCAGCCTGCTAGTGAACTAAACTGGCCTATCACAAAGCACAAGACTAGCGGATTACCAACACTGAAAACTCAACCCAGTTAGTCAAAACAAAGTTAACCAACACAATTTTCTCTACAAACGTTTCTCTTGAAGCACAGTCATAATCACAAGTTTACTTTTGATGGACCCGTAGTAATGCTGAAAGAGGCAAAAGTAAAAAGGCCTAAAAACCACTGTCACTCACTGCAAGCAAAAATCGTGGCCTTTACATTTCTCTATGGACCTCAGAATTATTGGAAGGAAGAAAATAGATAAACCATTTATCGGGACCCTCAAACAGTAAATGTATTTATGAGCGGATAAAATAATTGTCTGAAAATCAAAGGGAAATACGACAAAGGATTTTATATATCCTATCCATACTCCTCAAAATACATCAATACAGTAAAGGGGTAGTATAAACACAAAAAGTGTTAAAGACACGTCGTATGAAGACAAAAGGAGTCCATACTACTCAATAGTCAAACCAAGTGGATTAATCAACGGTAAAGATTGAATCTCATCCAGCCAACGACAGACATTCAACGTCAAAGGTCTATAAATACAGAAGAAGCGTGAAGACTGAAGAAGTAAGTGAGTTATAGCAATCAACACAAGTTTATACGAAGATATAGCAAAAAGAAAGGGTTAATCTATCACTTCGCTCTAAGCTCGCTCACATTTACTAAGCTATTAGATTAGTTCATTCACAGATATGTTTTTAGAGCTTAATCCTGGTTGGGAGGTTAGAATAATTTTGTAATCAACAAATTGTAAATCTTTAGAGGGTATCCAAAGTGTGGGTAGAATAGGTCTGAGTAGCTATTGAATGAGTTGAGTTCATTAGTGAAACACCTAAGGATATAGTAGCTTGGAGTGGTGTTTTTAACTCATTGCGAAAACCTTACGATCTAAGTGTATGATCAAGGTTAGATCGGGCACTAAGTGTATTGGGCTAAATAACTTAGTGGAAATCCATTTGAAAGAGGGTGAGACTGGATGTAGGAGGATTACACCACCTCTGAACCAGGATAACTTATTGTGTCATTTATTTACTTTTAAAAGCTCACCCAAACACACACACACACACATTGTCTCTTGTCTTACTACATTTTTTTCAACAAACAACTTCTTCAAAGACATCTAAACTGCATTAATGCAAACCCAGTTTGTATATCCAATTTGTATACCCAGTCAAGGCGAATATAAGTCAGTTGATAATACCAAAGCAAGTCATCTCATAAAAGAGTCTCTTACATCCCTTTTGAACTCCATTAACGTCTGCGGGATATTTGGTTTTTCATTTAACAAAGAGTTCACATTTGCTACTCAACAGCTGCCTCAATAGCTTTCTAGCAGCAGCCTTGGTGAACAAATCATCCAGTGTGGTTTGTGAAGTTTGTTGTTTCCTCCAGTGTAACACCGTCCCCAAGTATATTTACTTTTTGGTAAACTATGTATTGAACCTTGAGGAATGGTCATTGAAGTTACGAGGTTGTAAATTTTATTATTTATTTCGCGTGTTTAGTAAAATGCACGTGGGGCCCACATCGGGAGCGGGGACCACCCGATATTTTCGGGACTACATATTATATTCATCTTGATCTAGAGAATACTTATATGGTGGTGTATATTCATGTTGGGCCATAGAAAAGGCATAGAGTTGACCGGTTGGTCAAATGATATCCAATTACCAATATTAGCATTTATCAGGTAACGGCACGTAATAAATTCCGGAGACAACTAAATTAAATTTGGGGAATATATATTAATTCTAGAGGCCCATAATAATTGGGAATATGAGATATATTTTATTTGACTCGATAAAATGAAATTTAATTAAAATAGTCCGAGAAATATAACTTTCAGGACCGAGAGTACACACATCAGGACATATTGGGATGACCTACCACATGAGTTTCTCCTCTCCCTCACTCATTTGTCAAGTGAGACAAAAGTTAGTCATCCCCTCTCCCCTCCAATCATCTAGCTCGTCCAAGACACCATGAAAGAGAGAAGGAAGCTCTGCAAACATCTATCACCATAGCCAAATTCGAGCTCAAGCTCAAAGTGGTCCAAAAAGGATGTTTAAAGAAGAAAAAGGGAGGAAAAGTGTGGAGGATTAAGGTAATGACCTTATAACAACTTTTTCTCTACTCATCATCTATCATATGACATATATCATACTACCTCAGTAACTTAAATATGTTCCCATTTCAAAAGTAGGTAGAATTTAAATAGTAAAAGGGGATATATATTATTGAGGGTATGATGGGAAGATAGTGGAATACTGTGATGGAATGAATGATAAATCCAAAAAAGTAGTTGTAATAGTGTACAGAGTATTATTTTTAAAATTATTGCGGGTATGATGTGAAGATTTAGAAATGGGAAGATATGAATGTTACGGCCAAAAAAGGAAAGTGGGAAGATATGAATGTTACAGAGGTAGTATGAGGAACCCCTGGGATTGTTCTACATGAATAAAAGTGTAGAATGAGGGGTTGGAAGGTAGTTCTAAGTCCAAGAACGGACTTAGAAGCCAAAGTGACCGGTGTGTCGGAAAATAACCTTCTAGAGGTTGTTTGTGTTGATATAGGATTTTTTATGATGAAACCTTGTTAGGGACTTTTCTAAGGTGTTCCTAGTGCTCTCACGGAGTGAACCATGAGACTGGTGCTGGTTTGGCTACGGGTTTCGAGAGCGGTTTTTGAAAAAATGCAAATCAGGACCCGATTAAAGATAGAACCGGCCCCGACCATCCTATATATGTATATTTTGCATGGAATATGATGTTTAAATGTTAAGACTTGATATATGATGATAATATGTTAAGGCTTGGATTAGTCGTTAGTAATGATATGATATAGACCATAATTGGATAAGGTATATGGTAGATCATAGGTTATCAAAACTCATAGGTTCAGGTGGAGTACCCAAGGATCGGGCGGTGTCCTCAAAACTCGGTTATTAAGGGTGGAGTACTCAGGGACCGGGCGGTGTCCTCAAAACTCGGATATTACGGGTGAAGTACCCAGGGCCGGGCAGTGTCCTAAAACTTGTTATTACCGGGAGAGTGGCCCAGTGGCGGAGTAAGGCTATCAACACTCAATCATATAATGAACCCTAGGTTATAGCGGGGAAGCTAAACAATGGATCGGATATGGGGAAGTCAGGACTAAGTCCACCACTGTTTTATTGATTTACTTAAATGACCCACGGGTCAGATACTTATATGTATTTCCCAGTCTTGGGGGAAGTTATAAACATATGTATCACCCTATGTTTGGGTCTTATACTTGAAACGTTAGTTATTATACATTTAGCCTCCCTCTCGCCTGTATTCGCATACTGACCCCTTAGGGGGCCACCA